GCCGAATCCAGAGCCAAACGAGCGAATCTTCGTCATGAATTTGAATTCCATATTTAAAAACCTTGCCGAATATACCATGACATGATGATCCATGGGATCCATAAATTGGTGGCAAAAACCATAAGTCTCGCCAATTCCGAAAATTTCAATTTGCAATCGTATTCTCAATGCAGCATTTGAGAGAAGGTCACCAACATTGACTTGTTGACCCAAGCGCCCGAACTTTTTGCAATCTTTCAAGCCCTGCTACTGCATGGATGTGGCGGGCTCATTCCGAACTTAAAACATTCCTCAGGACCACTGCAGCAGCGCCAACTGACAAGTAAGCGGCATTATTTTTGAGCAACTTTAGATGTCGGACATATGGCTCAGAATCTGGACTGCTCAACGCTTGCAGCTTACCCCGCTGCTTTTGGTCTGCCATGCCTGTGGCCGGGAATACTGGAGAGCTCGCTCTCTCGCAAGCTTGGCAAAGCTGCCGGCGGTTGCTCGGCACTGTTGTGGAGAGCAACACACAGCGAGACTCTGTGCATAAGGAAGCTGAGTCTTCTTTGGGCTCTTGGAGGCCCACTTAATGGGCGCCCCTTCCGGTACACTGAGTCACAGGGCCAGAGCAGCACAGTGCCAGCTGCTTCCAGCCCTCAACGACAGGATCTCCAAAAGTTCATCTTGCCCGTCGGGAAAAAATGTTTGCGATGCCAGAGCTTCTTTTCCAGGGCGCCTTCCCTGCACTCAGTTCTGACATGGACACAGGTCACGGAACATAGCTAGGTTTGGCTTGGTTTCCCCCAGGCTCAAGATACAGGAGCTCAGGGAGTTTACTCATTTACCGGAGGATTGGGGTGTAGGGAGTTCCGATCCAACCTCGCATACCAACAGGCAGCAGAGAATGGGACCAGACTTAAACCCCTATCCCCTATACCTCCGACACTCAGCGCACAAGAGCGTATGCTCCGGACCCCTAAACTCAATTTACAACAAAGGGATGCGGGCCCAACATCACAAGCTCACCTCGACGTTGTCTTCAACGGCGTGCAGTGAAGATGTCTGACTCTGGCGTGCATCTGCTGCCCCAATGTACGCCTCGACATAGCCATCTGGAAGAGCCAGTTGCGACACCCTTTGGCACTCGGCTCGGTTCCCTTGCAGACCTCGGTCATCTCAACCCTATGCCCTAAGCCCTCTTCCCTAAAAGTCTCAACCCCAAAGCGCAACGTGTTTGCAAGGCTGAGTGAGGGCAAAGAGACCCTGCTGCAAGAAGTCGGGGATCTCCCTCCCTGCTGCGAAGTCGGCTGCAGCCCAACCACGGCCGTTCCTGGATTCTGAAGTTGACGGGTTCAGGGTTTAAGGCCTCCTTCAACAGCTGCTTCAGACTTTCGTTACTTTCGGCCCCATGCAAGGGATTTAACCTCGAAAGCGCTCCCACTGCTCCCATTCTTCTAGCCCAGGCACCTGATGTCCAACCTCGCGCCGGCAGCAATCAAGGCTGCAGCGGCCTCATATTGACCTCAGAACTGACTCAAGACCCTTCTCAAAGGGGCGGAACCGGCGGAACCTACTCTATGTTTGAGGCTTGGTTCGGACTTGAAATGCCACAACATACCTTCAAAACCTAGAGCTCAAAGCACACCGGTAGCTTGACCGCATCGCCGCAATCAGCGGCGTGATGCCGTGGAAATGGTAGCAAACAGCCGTGAGCATCGTCTTTGTTCCAAGCTGGTGCTGCAGGGCCTTCGCCCCAAAAAGCAGGCGGGCAACCGGGTGGCCGAAGTCGCGGGGGAGGTCTACCTGAGGACATGGAGATTACAGGGAACACCAAATGGACACGATCTGCAAAAGCTCATCGCTGCACAGCTAGACCTGCTCCCCCATAACCCACAAGAAACCGAACGGTGATGCATCTTATGGGCTTCCCTAACACCCCCCCCTTGAACCCTAAACCCTGAAGCTGCATGTGCACCTGGAAGTCCATGTCGGCCTTGAACTCGAGCAGGCGGTTGACCACCTTGGCAGAGCCTCCCCGACAGGAACAGGAGCCCCAAAGAGCCAGCGACAAGCTCCGTGGCCCTCCTGGGACGCCTTCTCCTTGAGCCACGAACTCCTCCAAGGCGGCCATACGCCCATAGCCCGTTGCTGCCTCTAAGGCCGTGTGGCCCCAGACATTCCATTTCCACGGATTCCCTCCTGCATTGACGAGCAGCCGAATGCCCTCCACATTGTTCCCAGCAGCTGCCCAGAAGAAGGCCGACTGGATTCCTCCGTGTACCCGGGCTTTCGCTGCGATGAGATGGCGGGCCGCTGCGTTGTGACTGTAGAAAACTGCAAGGTCCATGGCCGACGCGAATGGTGGGTAGCCCAGCAGGGGTTCGTCTCTCTTGGTCCGTTTGTTGGGGTTCGCGCGCGAGAGCAGCAGGGCTTGTATCACCTCCGGGTCACCAGAAATGGCTGCATAGTGCAAGGGAAAGAATCCAGCACTGTCTGCCTTTCCCACTTTGCGGAGGGCGTTCTGGTGAAGGAAGTTCGCTACAATCGGGTCTTTGTGGAGGCGAGTGGCATCATTGGTATAGGGTAGAAGGTCTTCCACCAGATCTGTTTCGAGGCCTCGCAAGTGGACCGACTGCAGATTCAACTGGCGTCGGTAGCCGGGCATGTCCCCGGATCTCAGGCATGACAAGAGCTTCTTCAAGACAATCTTCCTCATGACTGGCCCGAGCCGTTTCCGATCCTCTTCCACTGTGAAGTCGCCTTCCCCAACTGCTCCGGTCAGAAACGACCAGGTGGTGCCTACCAGCTCAGCAGTCGTAGAGCTCTGGACCAGGATCCACCTGCAGGGCTTTTTAACAAAAGAGCCAAGAAGGAAGAAGAGCCGTTGAGCTCCGCAACTGTAAACCCTTTCCCGCCCAAAGTAAGCCCGAACTTTGGATCCCTGGGCGCATGTTGTCTGGGGACAGCTCGCGTGCCGAGCGCTCTACCCGGCACCAACCCCTTTCCGCCCAGCTCGTTGGCGAAATCACCTTTCCTGTCAGGGCTTAAGGATGCTTAGGGCCTTGTCTTGGGAGTATGGCCCCTTCCGGCAATCATGGCCTTCCAAAGGACAGTCGATGACCGGGCAAATGGCAAGGAAGAAGCGGCACTTGGCCACGTATGTTGGGATGCTGTTGATGGCTTTGGCCTGATTGCTCCCATCGCTTTGATCTGTGGCATATGCTTCGCGCTTCTCGAGCTGTGGGACGGAAAAGTAGTCATACCAGATGTACAAAGGCTGGGCTTGAAACTCTTTCGTTGGCAATGGCTTTGCCGTTGGGACCAAAGATTCAGTGACATAGTCGAGAGATATTGAACCGTCGCCCTTCATGAAACGCCTCTTCAGGGTTTTGTTGTCGATGTGCCGCCCAGAAAAACAACAGGAGAACCGTTGGCCCTAAACCCCCTGATACCAACATGGAGAACGTGAATCAAAAACAACCCTGAACTCTGAACACGAATCCTAGTAATCCTGGCTATGTTGAAGTTGGCGCCTGAGTGTGTCCTGGAGAGTCTTGAACTGCCTGAAGTCTGGATCAGGGTGCTTCCTGCCAGCCCACTGGTGCGAAACGAAAGCTGCAATCCCCATCCTGTTGCTGAAAGGGATGACTTCACCACGAGCCTCCAAGATCAGGGTCGGTTTTGATGACTAGCTGACAGTATGAGGACCTCCATGCTCACGTCCACTGAGCTCCTACTTAAGTACAACCATAGCTACCTAGGGAACGGAAGTGAAGAGACGCTGAGGGATCCTTTCTCTGGAGACATGCTTTCTTATGCAAAGCTTCCAGTGTAACTGAATATCTACAGTGAAACCACTGTATAATATACAGTGGTTTCGCTGTAGCGAATAACAAGAAGCCACTGTATAAGAAACCATTGTATAAGAAACAAAGCCCCTAGATCCGGGGATTTTGGGCGATTTGCGGTTGCTTTTTCACTAAGAAACTTAGGGTACCCTAGTGTGGTTTCTTAAAATCTGCCTGCAAACCCCTTTTCCTTGCCCCCTAATACTCTCCTGCATGGGTGGGGATGGGAGGCCCGGAACGGGCCCCATGGAGGCTACCCAGGGCCGTCGGTCAGACCCTTGTAAATACACCTATACACCACAAAAGACTGTAAGCCCTAGAAACAAACCTTTTCACCCTACCAAGAAGGTCCCCACGCCCCTCCGCCCCTTAGTATACTGGGACCGACAGTGCGGAGTCATGTTTTTGGAAGTTTCAGGGCCTGAAACCCTCAAACCCCCACCCCCCCCTTTATTGCTGAAACCCTCAAGAACCTGACTCCCGGTCCCCGATCCCCCCACCCTTACTGGGAACCGACCGCGTAAGGGAGTCAGGTTTTTAGAGGTTTCAGGGCCTGAAACCCTCAAAAACCTGACTCCCCCGCAAAAGGTCCCCACCCCCCTTCTGCGAACCGACCGAGTCCCAGGCCCTGAAAGGGTTTGGTCTGGTGGTATAACTCCCTTCAGAAACTACTCAAGAAACCAAGCCTACCCTAGCTCAAACCCCCCGGGCACATGGAGTAATGGAAGCAAAGAAACTTAGGGTACCCTACCGACGGAAAACCGTTTTCTTATACAACGTCTTCTCTGCATTAGATCTGAAAAATCGCGCTGGAGCTGCTGGTACCACGTGTTCCTGAACGGATGGTCTCATGCGTAGCTTATTTAGGGCTGCGGACTACAAGTGCGAAGCAATCTCCAAATCCCGGCACGACAGCCGCCTTAAGCTCTTCATGCGGTTCAACCCTCGTCATCTGCATCACGAGGTCCGCATCCACGGTATACATTGGAAAAAGCATCTTGGATCCCGTGGGTTGAGGGTTCAGGGATGTTCAGGGCTTAGGGATTTGGGCGTTGCAACTCTCCAGGGTTCTTTCCTTTAAGCTTCTCATGTTTGCCAGTTTGTGGTCTGGTACGCTTAGACAGATGACAGAATGACCATTGCGTTTCCGCCTCGAACCCCTAAGGCGCTACTCCATCATTGCCAATCTTTTGCAGGAAGGTTTGGACAGTTCTGGAAATACAGAGCTTCGCTCAAGGACTTCGGCGGTACCTTCGGCAAAGTACACAAGTAACTAGTAGATGATGCCTACCGCTTGATGCCCACCTGGACCGTCACCCCTTCAAGGATACAAAGAAGCCCTGTCTTCAGCACTACTGGGGGTGTCTACGTTCTGCAGCCGCGAGACGTCATCGGCATCGGGTAATGATCTGAAGTAGCCACGCAGGGACTTATCCATGCTCCCGGGTAAGCAGGACGACATTGCGTTCGACAAACCCGGATTTCAGCACCTTTCGAATGTCAGACCCACACCCCATACTTGGAGCCAGAGAACAAAGTCCCGTAGTCGTCCTCGAGGTCCAATGAAGCACGCTCAGCACTAGGCCCGTCATCTCCCCAATCCCCTTATAAGCCTCAAAGCGCAACACTCATTGTTACTCTACAGGCTTCTGGCCCAGTGTTTGCGAATCACATGGTTTCTTGTCCCTTTGCTGCCCATCCGTGCGGTGTTGGACCACGGCTCAGGTCTGGAGTTTGGGGTTCTGGCTGCAGTTAGGGTTTAGCCTTAATCCCTAAACCCGAATTAAACCCTCTGAGCCTTGAGCCCTAAACCCTGAAAACCCTCTGAGCCTTAAGCCCTAAACCCTAATTGAAAACCCAACTCAAGGGCGGAGGCCAGCAACCCTCCCTAATTCTCAAACAGGTTTAGTATTGGGCTGGGTGCTGGGAGCGCTCGGGAAAAATCATACTTAATACTAGGGTGGGGTTTAGTATTAGGGGCAAGCGATTACCACCGGCTGCATGCCTCTTGCTCCCCAATCAGTCAGAACGGGCGCGCCATCCAAGTTTGGGGGGGGTGTTCATGCTGCCCTGGAGCTGGGTACTGTAGGTACTGGATGTGCCTGCTTGGTCTCTTATAGGGTTTGATCCTGAACTACTTTGAGGGAGGGGTGCTGCCACTTTCCGTCGGCCAGGGCCTTTTTGGGCCGGCTGTTCCACTCCGCTCCATTCGCTGACGTTCAACTACGCCTGATCTCTTCCTCGTCACGACCCCGATCTCGCCCAGCCCCCGGCCGATTTTCATAATCAGCCTCGTCGCGTCCCCATCACGCCCATGATCGCACGCCCCCCGGCCCCCTTCCGATCTCGCGCCCCATTTTACATGATCGCTGAGCTTTACACCCGTCATGCTCCCGATCTCGCGACCCCACCTCGGCCTATACCTCATCCATGCACCATCACGTCCCGAAATCTCGTGCCTCCTTGTGCTGCCGGCCGGAACTACCAACTACCACGCACTCTGGAGAAGCGGGGTCCGTTTCGTTCCTTTTTGCTGGCAATGGGGCTTCGTGTGCATCAGCGCCGGGTCAGCACAAAAGAGGCACCCGTGAGCTTTGGAGCGCAGGATAATCCTCTGCCAATTCGTACTCCCGAATTTCCGTGAGAGTATCTGATCTCCTCCACTGAGTAGGTCCTGAATATAGGTTGTTGGTGAAGTGAAAGACACGACGAGGCATGTCTCGCAGGCAATCTCTGGCCAACTGGAATGTCAGAAGTCCGGTCGTTGCGTAGAAGTCAGGTTGGCCAGGGGGACGCAACAGCTCGGACACTTGCACTGGGGCCATGTTAAAGGCAAAGTCCTCCAAGAACACCTTTACGCAGGACGCACCAGTTGTCCATCCCGCCTCTCGAGCTGGTACGAGTGACACAGCTGGAACTACTCATGCTCGGGAACTTGCCGGCACATTCGAGCGTCAACCGGGTAGAAGATCGGTAGAAGGGGCGAGCGTGCGGAGAGTGTCTTGCTCCGAGTTCATCTTGCTCCGAGGTGATATTTCCCGCCAGCGCGTCAGAAGCTCAAGACCACGGCCATGCTGTAGAGACTCGGGTGACAGGTCCTGACGTGAAGCCAGGTGGTCGCGGAAGGATGCCCAGCTAAGTCTGGGCTCCGCGGCTAAGGCCGGCTGCAAGGCACGGCGTTGCCTTGCAAGGGCCAGCAGCTTTGCAGCTTTGCAGGCTTTCCTCCCTTGAACACCACTCAGCAGCCGCAGCCAAAGGGAGCTGTCTTCCAGGGCATGCTCCACGACCTGCTTGCCCAGAGCTCCGATCACTGCGCGCATGTCCTCACGGTCACTGTGCCGGATCAACCATAGAGGAAAAATCCCTGACTTCAAGGGAGCTCATGAACCTAAAACGCCCCTCCCCGGCATCCTCCCAAGCAATGCCCAAGAACGACATCTTCTTTCGCAAGGCCAAGAGCAGCCTCAGGTCTGCACGCGCCTGCCCGAGTCAGCATGTCGCACAGATGCGGATGGGACTCATGGGTTTAGGGGTTTCGCTGTTTAGGGGGTTTAGGGGTTTAGGGGTTTAGGGTTTGCAGCCTGCCTAAAGTGATTGGCTTGTTTGCAGAGTCGCAAAACCACAAGAGTCTAGTGTACCAAACGCCAACTTGAAATCGTAATAACATTTTCACTTACTACCTCCCGCCCCCCACCCCCACCCCCCCAAAGCCTGTAGCTCCTTTACCAGGCCATCGCCATCCGAAGCCCATACAGACATCTGGGAAGCTTCTGAAGCTTCGCCATCCGAAGCCCATGCAGACACCTGGGAAGCTTCTGAAGCTGAATGCTCATCTGCTACATCATGGTATGCATGAGACTGCATGGGCCACCGAAGGCCTGCTAGTCAGCTAGTCCCTTGAAAGAAGTTATTCTTTCGGATCGGGCCATCGTCGCCATAAACAAATCGGCACTGCTAGCGGCGAAAAGGGAAACATCAGCTGCAGGAAGGGTGGGCAATCCATGGCAATCTGAACAAGACTTTCTGGAACCAGACACCTTGTCGGGTAGGGTCTTGGCATCGGACTCGACGTGGAGGAGCAACACCAAGAGGTCATTGAAGTCCAAGTGCACTCGCTCCAGAGTCTGCTGCAGCGCCGTCCTTTTTTGCTCAAGTTGCTTGAAGACCTCCTCCGGCGAAACCTGGAAGAATTTCAGCAATTCGTCTGGGCTGGCGGTCGTGGCCATGGCCTGCAAGTCCAGGGTGGCTTCAAAGCCGTACTGCCGGGCCGCCCTCTGGATGGACTCGCGGCAGGAGACCAGCAGGCAGGCGCAGAGCGGCTCGAGGGCTCGGTCCCTCTGCTCCTTGTCGGGCCCTTCGGGCCCTGAGCACGTCAGGGAGGTCAGAGCCCTTGGCTTCGCGTGGAAGAAGGAACGGAGAAGAGGACCGACTTCGGCCAGGCTCAGCTGGGACAGCTCCTTCATGTACAAGACGTCCAGGCTCCGGCCAGCCTCCCACGGGGGCTGGCGTCTCGTGGGATATATTTACAAGCCACTCCCTACCCGGGTGCGCATGCTCAAGGTTGAGGGCAGTTGTGCAGATTTCCGGCAACTTGTGCCTGCCAAATCGACTCTGCTTGATGCTTTATCATGAAGGACCTCCTGAGCCTTCGCATGCATCCACTATGCTTTATGCTCCTCGAAAAAAGCACCTTCAGCCCTCGGAAAGTGGAAGTTACATGCTTAGGCTATTACGGCGAGTGACGCCGATGACAATCCAGATTCTTGGGGTGCCTCAGCCCTCCATCCCGAACCACAGAGCCCGTCCTCGCTGCCGGCTTCCCAGCGAGCAACGTTCCACAGGGGCTCCAGACCCTGGGCACGGGACATGTGGAGCCACAACTTGCCCGAGCCGCAATGAGCATCCCTGGCAGCGAAGGACAGGCCTGCATGTGGGCGGGCAGCCGCACCAGCATCTGAAGGAAGACCACCAAAATCTCATAACCTCGAGCAAGGTCCCACTAAGGTGCCTTTTGGATTCTCTGGGAGGACCGCGCCAGTCCGCGGTAAACATGAGCTCGAAACCGTAAACGACGTTTTCGCGCCCGCGAACAAAACTATTTTGGACCTTGTGCCATGAACATTTGCGCGCACCAGCAACATTGCTTCGGGTGTACTGGTCCCGGTTAGGGGCTTTGGTGTAGAGGTAGTACTTTCAAAAGGCATGCAACAATGCTGTCATCTTCCCGTCCTCTCTCATCATCCCATCATCGTTTCATGGTCTTGTCGCCCTACCATCTGTTCATCCCCTCATCATCCGCGTCCAATTCTCAGGTTGTCTTTAGTATTCTCATCGCTTTCGTGTCTTAGCTTAACGTTGTCCGCCACCATGCCATCTGCTCATTCTTGTCATATTGTGCCTATCTCAACTCTTATGGTCCCCGCCTTATCCTCGCCGTCTCATGCCAAAAGTGTAGACTTTCAGCTTGCTGTTGTAGCTGTCAGTTCGCAGTTTTTGTTTCATTGTCGCAATTTAGACTCTGAACTGTCTGAACTTGTTGCTATGATATCGTTTCTGAAAGCGCTTGGAAATGTAGGCCGGATCGTGGCAAAGGTTGGCCGTCACATGAAGTGCAAAGACCAAAACCATTTTTCGGACCCTTTTTTTGCCTCGGGTCCACCAGACGACCCCCCCCCTACCCCCCCCCTACCCCCCCTAGGCTGCCCCCCCCCCCCCCCCCCCCCCCCCCCGCCACCCAACCACCACCCCCCCACACTACCGCAACCCCTACCTCCCCCTTCTCTGCCCCCCCCCCCCTACCCCCCCCCCCCCACCCCCCCTACCCAACCCCGACGATCAATCCAAGCCGAACCGTCTCTTGAACCCCAAACCCAAAAAAACCCTAAACCCCAAAGCGTGAACCTTGAGCCCTAAGCCCTCAATCCTAAACTAACCCTCAACACTAAACCCCAAACCATAAACCATAAACCCGGAACCCTAACCCTAAACCCAACCCTTATTGCTTGGGGTCCAGCGACTTGGGCGCTGCGGAATCACCATGCTCACGCGGATGCGCTGGGCCGGGCCGAGGCGGGTCGCGTAGCGTTAAAATTAGCCCACGCATGGCTGTATGCGTAAAGGACAGTGTGCCTATATGACAAAACGATTGCATTTCAGTATTGTTCTGTCCCGGTACTTCTGTACTACTTTCCCGCTTCTTGTATTGAACAAAGACAGCTTTCGGCCCTTAACATGTTGCCATACCTCTCTCTCTGTCAAAGCCAAGCCTCCCTCTGCTCTCGGCACCTTGCCGCGCTCCGCAGCAATCTCACGCAGCACGCGGGCGCCGCCAATTTCATCCAAGACCTGACGTGAAGAAGCTTCAAGTCTCGTAAACTCCTATAGATATGAGGGTCTTGCTTCAGACCACAAGACCAAAATCACACCTGCGCTGCCATGTCCAGGTAGTCCCCGTCCAGGTCGGCAGCGTACCTTGATTTCAGACCTGGGCACTGGATCAAGGGATGCAGGGATGCCTGTAGTGGCCTCCTTAGGAACGGGATGGCCCAGCTGCTATTGCATGTGAAGCTCAGGTGGAGGGTTGTGCCGGAGGGGGTTGTGACACTTTTGCCCTCCATCAGGGTCCTGTATGCGAACTTAGTGTGATAGCTGCATCTACAGTGCCCACCTTCATGCAACTTCGCGCGCGCTTGCCGCAGAGAGGAAGCAGGTGAGAGGAAGATGCCCTCTGCGCAACTGCAGACTTCTTGGGCGGAGATACCTGCGTGTCTCTCACCATTCGGGGTCCTTGCCGGGGGTTCCTTTTGAGGGAGGACCCTTACCTTTTGCCTATGTTTTGGGGGACCCGGCTTTGGAAAGGACCCACCTAGTAGAATTGGCTGCAAACGTAGCTCTGTGCCCAGACATCGCATGAAGCTGGCGAAAGCTCCGTCCTGTAGGCGCAACAGATTTGGGCCAAGAGATCAAGCAAGGAACCCAGATTCCTCGACTTTCCAATGCCCAACTTCAAAGTAAGCCCATGGTTCCTTCCCTACATTACTTCGAGGGTTTAGGGTTTAGGGCTTAGGGCTTAGGGTTTAGGGTTTAGGGTTTAGGGTTTAGGGTTTAGGGTTTAGGGTTTAGGGTTTAGGGTTTAGGGTTTAGGGTTTAGGGTTTAGGGTGGTTTCCCTCAGCTCCTTCTCCAAGCACAGCAAAGCGGCTTTCAACACCAGCTCCCGCGCAGCACTTGCCTTGGCAAGAAAATCACGACAGGATCAGACCAGCTGTGGGTTCAGATTGGGATGTTCCGCCTTCTACTAACGGTCCTTAATAGGCATTCTAATAAGGGGGTACTATAGTCCCTACTAAGGACTGCTAGTATAAGGGGGAACATCCTAAGGTTCCGATCTTATTTAGCTTCTGGGGGGGCTTAGGGTCCAAGGTTGGGAGTTTAGGCCCATGCTAGTCGTTCTGAATTTCCTGGGGCGCACCTGCCGGAACTCCGAGGACTTCTGCACGTGCTGGAGGAAGGGCAGCATACCTCACCAGTTGGGTGTAGTTACTTATAGCATACTCTAGCATACTAGTAGGCATGCGATAGAATAGCATGCAGAACTGCAGTATAGTAAGCATATAGATATAGCCCACTGTTGCCCTGAAGTCAATTGCGCTTGTATTTCTAGACGACATGCCAAAGAGCAGCAGCAGCAGCAGCGGCAGCAGCAGCAGCAGCAGCAGCGGCAGCAGCGGCAGCAGCGGCAGCAGCGGCAGCAGCGGCAGCAGCGGCAGCAGCAGCAGCAGCAGCAGCAGCAGCAGCAGCAGCAGCAGCAGCAGCAGCAGCAGCAGCAGCAGCAGCAGAACTGTTTGTAGTCGTCGGCCAGTTAGTTTATAGTGACGACATTAGTCATTGTGGCACTGCAGTAATAGAGTGTGTAGTCATCGTCGTGGCGGTAGTGGTCGTAGTCGCAGAGTAGCCAAAACTTGTCGGTCAAACAAGCAGGAATGTTCTTAGAAATATTCGCAGTCGTTGCAGCACCCCGACGCCGACGCCGACGACGACGACGAGGAGTACGAGTAGTGTTCGTGGTAATCTACAACTGCCACGAACAGGACAACTTCCCATTCTACTAACATGATCACGATCACTACCACACCGCCACCGCCACTACCACCAGTCCTCCTCCTCCTCCTCCGCCACCACAAGTAGTCACTTATCCCATGTGACGGTGATGACTATGACTTTGACGACTGCCCCGACGACGACAACGATGACCGCTGCTACAGTGCTACTGGCAGCAGCACCGCCACCGCAGTAAGCCGTTTAAGAGCTCAATGCATCTCAAAGCATGGACGCGCGCGAGGAACCTCAATACTTTCTTGGCAACTTTTTGCCAAGCAAGATCGCCAGGCCTCAACCAAAACCCCAAATACCAGAGAAAATCTTCAACTTCGGTCACTGAGCCCCAGGTTCAGAAAGAGACTGCTAGTTACAACAACTAGCACAAAGCTAAGCAAGTGCGAGGACTGATGAACTCCTGTAAGGTAACTCCATCAACTCAAACACCCAACTCGAAATCTCATTGCTCACATCTTCCTAGCACTTTAGCCCTCACTTTCGGAGGTTTAGGGCCCCATGACGTCGTGACTTTAGCAAGGATACCAATGCTTCATGATGCGAGAAAACACCTCACTTCAGGGTCCAAGGGCTTCCAGCCCAGATGCTGTCCAGCGAGCGCCGGCGCAGCCACATGAGGATCGCAGGGTCGACGTCCAAGGTTTCAAGGAGAGCAGTCCAAACTGGTTGGATCAGTGACCTACAGTAGGCGGGACACTTTTCACTCCTAGACTATCGTGGCGTGTGCACGCCTGGCTTTCATGTTCTAAACCTGCCTCAACGGCCCTACAAAGGGAGACTATTGAGACTTAGCTGCTCTTTGATTTCAACCTCCCTTGCGAGGTGCAAACCTATGTAGGGTCATTCAGACAGCACTACGCGACCACTCCCTCCTTGGACTCGGGCACATGCTTGGAATCCACGTCCTCCAGGAGCCTTGGCAACCTGTCCTGTGGCTTCGCGAGCAAGGGCCGCTTGTCCCTGAACAGGGAGTGCCTGCTGCGAAGTACAGCAATACAAACAACGATTCGATGGAGGTGAGATAGAGGCAGCAGCAGAAAATAAAGAAGTACTCAGGACACGAGCAGCCCAAAAGTAGCCATTACGATTATGCAGCAACTACAGAAGTTACCAGGTTTCGTGATTTGGGACGGGCTCCCCCCCCGACCTTGGCAGAGAGATCAGCTTTTTGGACGCCGCCAAGTCCAGGAGTCTGAGCAAGTCGGCCTGTGCCTTTGGGGCCATACCCAGAGCCTCGAGCTCCTCTGCGCAGTCCCGGGCATCAACGAGATCACCCTGAGCAGCCTTCTGCTCAAGCAGCTCTGGTGCTTTCTCAGGATCTTGCCATATTTCCGACAGGACATCCAAGGCCTTCCACGCACTTCTGGTCAAGATCGCCTTCATGTCGAAGGGGCCCTGCGGCAGGATAGCCCCAAGCCGCTCCTCCAACAGGTGCTCTAGGCAAAAGAGCCCGGATCTCAGGATCAGCTCCTTGGCGTCACCTATGGGATCTTCAGCAGCGTGCTGCACGTGAGGCCAGAGTGCCTGTAGCGTGTTGGCCTCCAGCGTCTCCACCAGCTTTGCCGACAGGCTGCTGCTGCCATAATCCGGCCTCCGCTTCAACTCGGCTGAGACGCTGTCTCTGGCGGTGGCCCACAGTGGTTCCAGGAGCGGCCTCAGCAAATCAGAACGCTTGCACCATGGGTGGTTCGTTCGTGGCCTTGCTCGTCTTGCTCACTGCTATTGCTATGCTCGTGGAGGGGAATGCACAGGATTGCACAGGGTATTCTGAGGGCCTGACAACTGCCGGACCTCAATCTCTGCGAGCAAGGGCACGATCAGCGAAGTGGGATCCTTGAGCTTGTCCGACAGCTTCGCGGAGAAGGTGTCAGATGTATCAGCATTGAAGGGAAGGACCTGGCTGGAAACGAGAAGCTTGGCGATGCCGACCATCTCACGTGGGCTCAGTGATCTCATTGTATCCAGCGGTGCCTCAACCTCAGAGCTGGCCAAGGCGATCGCCACCTCTGCGTGGGCGTCAGAGAAGCGTGCAAAGGCCTCGTCTGGGTCCGTGTCGAAGTCCCTGCAAGCTTGCATCAGGTCCTCCACAGTGGCCTGCAACAGAAGGCACTCCACGCAGGCGCTACCCCGACAACCCAAGCGCTCGTCCAGGGCTTGCGCGTTCCCCAAGACTGCCACCTTCAGCAGGAGAAGCTGCAGTCCATCCAGGTGCGCTTGCGCTGAGCCCTGGGAACCATTGGAACATCCAGGAGGCGGAGATGCCCACGTCAGCTCTCGTATGAACAGCAGCAGGCCTCGTGGGCTGCACTTTTCCAGCAGCGTGCGGAGCTCCTCCAAAGCATCCGCCCCAAGGCCCGCACGGGCCTCGGTCGCGAGCTGCGCAAGCAGCAGCTCTTTGGCAGGAAGCCAGAGGGGCTCCAAGAGGGACTCCAAGGACCTGGGCATCACTCGTGCTGCTCAGCTGCTCTTTGCGCCAGAAATGTTTCCGTCACACGCCTCTCTCTCAGTCTCTCTCAGTTTCCCTCTCTCAGGCCCCGTCTGAAGAGCAACCTGCTGAGCTGAGACATGACCAGCAAGAGAGAGTAGCAGCCTGTAGGGATCCGCAAGCAACTCCCTCAGCTCGCCCAGCGCAGCTTCCGGCGATGACCAGCATGAGAGCTGGTCATGAGCTCTGAGCACTTTGAGCAAAGAGATCACCTGCTTCGAGCTCAGGGTTATGCCTGGCAAGACCTCCGCAAGATCCTTGCTTGAGAGGGCCATGGCCAGGGCAAGCTCGGCGTTGTTCTTTGCTATGCTCTGGATGGCCGCACGCGGCTGGAGGACCTGCTGGAGCTCTTCCATTGTGAGGGCGGCAAGGAAACTCTCGATGTCGATGTCGACTTTCAAGGCACTTACGGTGCCTCCCAGCAGCTTCAAGACCTCGTCCTGGGAAAGGGGGACACAAAGAAAAGCCTTCCCAGCAGTTGAAACAAAATGTGTGATTGGGAGCCTTCGGGTCCATGCCAATGAGGGTGGCTTTGAGCATGAGCAGCGCGAGCTTCTCACAGCTGGCTGGCTCCCTGGCATCTTTGTGCGCAGCCAAGGCCTGCAAGGTGCTTAACCAGAAGGATGGCCAGAATGAAAGTATGAATCCATGTGCAGGACAGGCAGACTTGCAGTGAGCGTGTGCTCACTGTGTTTTGGTTCCGCTACCCTGGCCATCTGATGCCACTGTGCGCCTGCAAGCTGCCGAAGAGGTCTGTGAGTGAGGCCTGCCTGACCTTCTCGACCACTTGGCCCATGAGGCCCTCCTTCTTGGCTGAAGGGATCCTTGGCTTTGCATAACGGAGGAGAACCCCGCATTGCTCTTGTCGGCGATACCCTTACAAGCACTTGATTTCACGTTGGCATGAGCCCAGAAAGATCTCGGCCACTCAGGCAAACTTGCCACACAATCTGCGTAAAATGGACACTTCATATAGACTCTAGACGCGAAGAGTACAGCGGCAAAAATGTGGCTTTGAATGTAGTACCTTGAAGCAACTCCAAGAGTCTGTTTGATGGCCAGAGCCTTCGCACTCTCCCAGAAGGGGCTCAGCAGCTCAAGAACAGACCTGCAGGCGTGTAATGCAACCAAAGCTGACAAGTAACCTATGCAAAACATAGAGTAATAGCGATGATGGCATAACAAGTGTGGAGAAGAAGCTTTCCCATAAGAGATGGTCACCAAGAACATGGTGTACATCAAGGGCGGCATGGGCTCATGGGCAAATGCCCGCAACTCACTGAGCTTCGGGCTGAACTTGTTCGCCGTGGACGCGTTGGATGAGTGACAAAGTTAAGGCAGCAGGATCTGCCAGCCACTTTCGAAGGCTCTCGATGGTCGCCCAGGGCGTCGTCCACGAGATCAAGCTGTGATTTTTCAGTGCTTTGGCAAGCTTGATGATGTCCTTTGCCGTCACCTTCTCCTGCAAGTCTTCCGGAACAAACTGGCTCAGGCTCTGGCTTGAGATTGCGGCTGTCAGTGCAAGCTCCAGGTTCCCTTCCACCAGTCTCCCGAAAGCTTCTCCAGGCTGCTGACACACCTGTATCAGCTCATCCATGGTGCGGATCCCCCTGATGGCGGGCTCCAGGTCGATGGACGCCGGCAGATGCTGAGACAGCGTGTCGCCTTTCGTGCTCAGGAGGATGCTCTTCAGCAACAAGAGCAGGAGCTGCTCACCCGACATGGCAGTCTGCTCCGTCCCCTGCCGCAGAAGGTGAAATGCTTTGAAGAATGCGCTCAGTGTGGTTGTCCTGCGGAGTTGAACAAGATAAATCAAGCATTGCAAAGTCCCTAGCTGCAAGCAACATGCTAGGCGTTTCTTAGCCCGGACTTCCATCTTAATCAGCCCCCAAAATGTTCAGATTGGTTTATACAGTTTGTCTACTGGGCTTCTTGTGGATGTTGTAACGAAAGCAGCTCCTGAGCTCGGTTCTGACCTCTTCGAGGAATCCCTGAGCAGTTCCATCACTTTCCGGCAGCAGTTTTTCAAGGGCCGACACGGCGGGCTTCCACAAAGGCATCAGAACAGGCCTTGGCAAAGAGCTCCAGAAAGGGATGAGTGGGATGAGTATGACTACTACTTACTATTTGGGATGAGTATGTGTGATCTTTAACTAACAATGGGGTTTACGAAAATGGGGGACTAGAATAAGCCCCGAAATAGTAGGATCCTCTTGTCATAAGGACCCCAAGAAGGACACCCTACTATCGTAAAACCCCCACAAAGACCATCAAAACACGGCTGCAGGGGGAGAGAACAACACCGAGGCGCAGGTCGTCTTCGTGGCTGCGGGTGAGGAGCATGGTGAGGAGCCGGCATGGGTCACGGAGCAGCTTCCCGAAGGCCGCCATGCTTCGAGGCAGGAGCCGGAAGCACAGCCGAGCGAGGCCCAGCACCTCGTCGCCGGAGAGGGATGCCGCAGCCTTGGCAAGAAGAACACAACAAGGAGAAGCAGCTCCCTGGACAAGAAAGTCAGCTCAAGTACGCGGATGCTAGGTTGCGGACCTTAAGCTCACTCATGGCCGGGGCCACCAACGCTTCAGCGATGGAGTCTGGACTATCTGGGGTAAACTGCTGGCAGATGCGCATGAGCTGAGGAAGATCCGAGGCAAGCAGTGCTGACTCGAGAGGTCTGCGAGGAATCGGATTAAGGTCGGAGTGCAGGAGGCAAAGCAGGGAGCCTCGGATGAGCAACAGGCAGAGGCTCTTCAAGCTGTCGCTTCCTGGACCCACATGCTGGCCGTGCTTGCACAAGCGCTTCATGCATTGAATGAGGTCCTTTGTCTTGAGGGGCTGGAGGACATGGTGGAAGGCTGGGAAACCCTCGCGCTGGGCGAAGGAGGCGGCTGCATCACGGGCCCAATCCCAGAGCGGCTCAAGGATGTTAAGCTGCTCGAGGGGGAAGTTCAGCAAGTGTGGCACCAGACTTGCTGGGCTGGCCAGGCCCTGGCCGATCGCCACACCACCTTTGGCAAGGAGGGCTTTGCATGCCTGGGTCAGCAGGGCCATTTGCTCATCGCTGAAAGAGCAGCCGAGCACCTGCTCCAGCAAGCGCCTCTGATCTGCGAGGATCAGGCGCAGGGAAGCGTCGCCGGCCTCTTTGAGCCAGCCTTCTATGCCTGCTTTGATGCCTGCTGGGTTCTTCAGGATGTGCAGGAGCTCTGCAGGGCTATCCACGGTTTCCACCAGCTGCGACAGGCAGCCATCCAGCAAAGAGGAAGATGTCGGCGAACCTGACGAAGAAAGCTGCTGCGACAAGTGTGCCAAAGCCTCTGCAAGCACCTGTATGGCAAGCTGGTGGAGGCAGCCTTCCAAAGACTTCCGGAGAGAACGCTGCGACCCTCTAACGTCCAACTCGAGCTCGATCCGCTCGAAGGCCTTCGCCAAGCATCCTCGCATGCGGGCCGGGTCGAGGTCCCTACACTTGTCCAGCAGCTCTACAGGCGCCCCGAGCTCTGTGCCGATGGCATGGACAGAGGCTGCGAGGCGCTGCCAGAGATCACACAGCACAGGCTCGGCCAGCTCCGATATCAGAGCGCGCAGCAGCTTGCATATCACCTGTGCCACCTGGTGCATCATGCTGCCGCTCAGGCACTGCTCGGCCTCCCGCAAGATCAGCGCGGCCCGCGGGGCATCTTTGATGATGGCCTTCAGTGACAGGGCCACAGCCTCTGGCAGAGGCTCGTGCAGCACCCCATTGAGCAATGCGACTCCCTCGTCGACAACGACCTTCCACAGGCCTTCCACAGTGGATGCTGGCACGAGGTCTTGGGCCTGCAGGCGAACGAGCTGTGTGAGCAGCTGCGCAGGCTTTGCCAGATTGAGAACCGCCTGGGGGCCCCCAAGCTCGTCCAGGAGGCAGGCGATGGTGAACAGGTCCAGCTGCTGCAGCCAGGCTCGCAGTGCCTCTGCAAAGCGCCCGGTGAAGGTGGAGCAGAGCTCCAACAGCTGCTCCTTCACGATGCCTTGCACCTGACTCGAAAAGTCCACGGCCAACACCTGCCACTGTGAGCAGTGCTCCTCCAGCTGCTCCACGACGTCCTGCACCTGTTTGGTCGGCAGAGTTCCGTTGAGAAGCAGGCCCAAGACTGCGGGCAGGATGCCCGAGACAGCCAGCCCCAGTGGATCCTCCGTGATCCCAAAGGCCAAGAGCGCCACCATCAGCAAGGCGAACAGCAACAACGCCAGGAGAGCGAGCCGCTTTAGCATGCGAAAACCGGACAAGCCATCTAGCCCGAGCTTCTGGAGCATTCTGCGAACCACATCCTGGCGGATGGCCTTCTGCAGCAAGAGGAAACCATCCAAATCGAGCTGCATCACTTCTGGGCCACCCCGCTGTTCCCTTAGGATTGATGCGAAGCGCTGGCGAGACAGCACGGCCCGATAGGCCAGACGAATCCGGGCCACGCTGACAGACATTTCGGTACACTCGCCATTCTGCGCTTTGACACTGCGGGCGAGGGCGTGGAAGAGGTCGGCATCACTGCCCTTGCCGGCCTTCAGCCGCTCAAAGCTCGCCTCAGCACCAGCATGTGGGAGGGCCAAGGCAGCAACGCCAGCACCCACGAGGCGGACCAGCACCTTGCCCGCCAGCTCTTGCAGCTGCGCGTGCACCTCGTAACGTAGCCTCAGCCAGAGCCTTGCTCGGTTCATCACCAGAAGCACAAAGCTTATGACAGACGTGAAAAGGGGCACGATCCGCTCCGCGTCAACCACCAACCCAATGACGAGCCAAGTGAGAACCAGGCTGATGTAGGCAGAGACGAGTCCAGCAATACCAATGCACGAGAACCATGGAAAGACATGGGCCAGCGAGTCCGCGAAGCCTTGCATCCTCTGCTGCCAGGAGGCTGCGTGCCGGCGGGCAGCGGACCTCCTGCTTACGTCTGCTGTCAAATTCAAGATGGTGCAGGGAAGCGAGGCCGTTCGGTAGGAGCGCAAGCAGCTGCACAGAAGCAAGCCGAACACCGTGCAGCAGCTGGGGATGAGCACGTGGCCAAAGGGCGAATCCTCAAGCAGACGCCGGGGCAGCTCAGTGATGCGAGCTGTGATGTGCAGGCTGGACAGCCGGTCGGCGGGCGAGAAATGGCCATAGGGCTCAGCTGCCAAGGCTGCAGCCAGGGACAAGGCGCAGGGCCAAAAAGAGAAGAGGATGCAGACACACGCATGGCACCAGCCTGACAAAATGTCGACAAGCAGCCACCCGGGCCGCAGCACCGGCAGCACGTGCGGCAGCTTTTGACCATGCTGAGGTTCTGAATGGATTCCACTGGCGAGGTGTCGCAACAGCCGGGCCCTCCTCGCGAGTTCCTGGATGGCAAAAAGATTGAGGTGCCGCGGCTTGTGGAATGGGGACTCAAGGGTGACCGCGACATTGCTCGAAAGGTCCTGCTGCGACTGAGCTGTGAGAGGGGTGGCCGTAGAGGGGCTTAGGGAGTGCACCACCACAGTGATCCCAAAGGACTTCAAGGCTTTGCGAGTCTCCTGGCTTGTGAAGTCAAAGCCGGACATCTCGTGTGGTCGAGTTATCTGCTGGTAACTGGAAACAGCATCGACCAAGCTGGCCACTTCGCCGTATGTCAATGGCTGGCAATACCGCCTGGCAGATGGTACAGCTGCAGTCAGACCTTGCCAACAACTTTTGCGGGAGTCCTCCAGCTCTTCCTTCTGAGAAAGCGCTTGGCCGGCTGAGAGCAGCGAGAATGCAGAGTTGAACACAAGCGCAGCCATCGTGGACTGCTGGCCCATGCAGTTGGATTGCCCTGCCAATATCTCTGACACAGCCTGCTCCGCGCGTCGGCGAAGGCCTGGGTCCCTGGCCGTCAAGGCAACATACATTAAGGTTGGAAGGATGCGGAACACATAATCGGGGTCAAACTCAGACAGCATGATGACCAGACTTTCCAGACTCACTGCATCAATGCAGAAATCATCAAAGCTCTCGCGCTGTGTCGAAACTCTGCGCCCAGAAATTGAACGCAACATCACCTCTGATGTCCTGTCAGCAAGCTGGGCAAGGTCTCTCTCTACGTGGCCTTCTCTTCTTTCGGATCTGTACCACACATTCAACGCGAGCACGGCAGCTGCTGCAACCTGAAGGTTCCTGTGCGCGCTTGCCTTCTCCAACTGACGCTGTGCTGCCAACAGAAGCCTGCGGTTGAAGCGTGGTAGGACTGACATGCCTCCGAAAAAATGTGCCGCTTCTGTTTGAGAATCAAGATGAACAACTTTTAGCTGAGCCGTCATATAGGCAATCAGCCAAACGGGTGGATGATGAACTACTTCACTAAAAAAATCATCAGCGTGATTGAGCAAGGCGCTTTCAACTTGCGCAAAGCATGCGCCAGCCAGCTGGCCCAGCAGAGCAAGGCCATCACGGTGACGGTAATGTTTGGCAATCAGGCTGAGAAGCTGGGGCACGAAGGGGGCTGCTGCCACACCCGAATGAACAAGCGCCTCAAGCGCCTTCACTTGTGATGTTCGTTCTTTGCTACTAAGCTCCTGGGCAAGCTGCGGAATGGCACTTGAAACTGCTGCAGCAGAATTCAGCATGTTGGGCTCATCCGGAGGTGGGACCGCTGCTAGGTCCAAATTTTGCATCGTGCACATGTGGCAGAAGCTGTGCCACAAGCTCTTGCCGCCAACTTTGGCAATCTTGCGCCCAGCACCTTCGACATGTAAAGAGCCATGCGAGAGCCTTAGCGCTTCGAACTTGGCTTGCTGCTGCGACCTGAAAAGCACATGGGGCATAGCAAGCGCTTCAGACATCACGTTTTCTGCGCCAGCTGCGCTCCAAGCTAGAGTAACTGACAGGCAGCTCCAGAGGCAGGGCAGCT